GAAGTGTCAAGAATGGACGTCTGTGGAGAAAAAAGCAAGCAACAATGTGGTAAACACTAAAATTTTTCTGTGAAATCGACCGTTTAACGACGGAGACACTGAGAACACGAGTACGCGAGAAGCGAGACGCCACTTTGCTGAGACTGATAAGAATGGCAGCGGTTGCAGCAGTCAGGCGGAGGCTCACCCTCCTTGTCGCGTTCCTTGTCCTTGTCACCATAACCAAGTCGCGACAGTACCAAATACCGTCCAGTGCGATGAGGGGTCCTGCCCAAGCAAAGGATGGTCTTTATAATGCCAGACATTATAGCACTGCGAAACATCAACTAAAGAGCAGTCAGGCGAACGGCAGCGGTCGCAGCGGTCAAGTGAAGGCTCGGCTTTCTTGTTGCGTTCCTTGCCCTTGTCACCATAACTATAACTTCCAAGTCGTGACAGTACTACCATTCGTATAAAGGAAGGTCCTCATGCAGGGTCAACCGTCCGTTGGACAAAGTCCAACGCGACGACGAGAGTGAACGTACGCACGGAGACACAGACGGCTCGCGGGTGGCGAGAGTGAATGCCGGCGCGGAGAGCGGTGAACATCGGTCCAACGTCGCTCCAATATCGGTCCAACGTAACGGTTGACCCTGTCCTCATGATGCCAGACATTATAGCATTGCTAAACATCAACAATTCACCCAACGACCAGTATAAAACCCAAAAGGAAACAGATGCGTTTTGTTCCAGATAAACAGCACATCTATGTTCAAACCTTTATTACAACTATTTACACTGTATTAACATAGTAGATAAATGTTCTACACCTATTGATCACGGAAGTTACTTCGTGTCTGATAGTAAAGAGCCAATCGATCGCGGGCGTACGCTCCGCAATCCATAATTGCCAAAGTCTCCTAAGAAAACAATATAAATCGATTATGTGATTTGAGCTTGAGAATGATAGGTTACCTTTTCACAATACAAATTGAAAATTGCCCAGAATAAATGTACGACCGGTGCGAATTGATTGATTTCCCGTAAAAGACTGAGCTCCGATTTGATATGAATATTCAGCTGAAAAGATGATTTCAGAAACAAAAGTTTCATGTAGAAACCTTGCCTGAGGATTTGATTTGTTTTATTTACGTCACTAGTATTAATTAATAATAATATAATTATAATAGTATTATATAATTATAATATAATATTATAATAGTGTAACAGTTCGGTAATAATGAGATAATGGCCAGGAGCACACTATTCTCTTACACGACCTATGGGAACAAACGGGTGTCCCCCAACAGGCCCACCGCGCGGCGAAGCAAGAGACGCAGACGCGGCAAAGGGACGAGTCGCAGCGCATACTGTAGCGGTTAGGCGTCAGGTTAAAGAGAGTGTACCATACTACGTCTCATATCGCACAGCACGCGCTGCAACTCGTCTCTTTGCCGCATCTGCGTCTCTTGCTTCGCCGCGCGGTGGGCCTGTTGGGGGACACCCGAAAACCCACCTAAAAGGACCAACTTTTCCAGCATT